ATTCATTATTCTTTATTACTTCTATCTTTCTGTTTCAATGCTGCTTTAATTCTATGTAAATCCATCTACTTTTGTTCATATTTTATTTAAATAACAAAAATTAACAATAATCAATCAATTTGTGTATGAGGAAAATAGTCTTTTATATATTGAGGAACTTGTTGTTTTCCATCAGAAAAATTGTCAGAATATCCATCATCTCCTTGTAATTCTATACATAAATTTACGTAATTAATTTTTGCACAATTATTTCTTGTTCTATTTCTTGTGAAATTGTGTGTCACTTTTGTCACTAATTCATGATCCATAAGAAGACGAACATCAAATGGTAAATAAGTTAGAGTATCGCATAAGAATTGTTCATAGTAATCTATGCAACTTTGAATAAGATCAAGTTGTTTGAGATAAGGATATTTAATGATTGATAAATTTTTTGAATTTCTAAATTGTTTATTAATTTGTCGTTTTTCATTACGTACAGTTAATTCTTCCATGAATGGAAATGATTGAGCAATTCGAAGAAAAAATTCATGTTCAAAAGGACGTTCATCAAATAATGATACTTTTCGAACATATTTAAATACTCCACCTGAAAAATTATTCGTTATATCATCATAATATTTGAGTGTATATGGATATGAATAAATACGACAATAACCTTTTTTTAGTTTTGGAAAATAATCATTCCAATAGATAATTTGTTTATCTTTAAAATCTTTAAATGTCTTTTGAATATCTTCATTTGATGGTAAATTAATTTCATTATAAAAACTACTTAATGAGTGAATATTAAATGTGAATTTATTTAATTGTGACATATGATTAATAATATTCATCTTCAAATCATTACCATCAAAAAATGTTTTTCTTTCATCAATATTAATATACAAATCAAGCTTTTCTAAATTTGACATTCGATGTAAAAATGGTACAACTAATTCATCATAAACAAATATTTTCGATTTACAATGTAGCCAAAAGGATTTTAAATTGGATAGTTCTTTCTAGAAAAAAAAAAGAAGAATATTATTAATTGATTTAAATTAGATATTAATTGAAATAAATAATTTCCCGTATTATTGACACTTTTGTTCATAAAGTTAATCACACCAACATCAACATAAAGTATACGAAGTTGATTGAAATGTCCATCAAGTAAATAAAGACAATCATAAAAAGTTTTCAAGCAGACATGTAATTCTAACAAATTTGTAGAAATAACAGTTGGACGTCTAAAACAAAAGGATAATCGTTCATCGGAAATTGAAGATCGACCAAAATTTAAATATTGTAAATTAGGAAACATAGTAAAGATACGATTAAATATAATTGCATTATTGTTTGTTAGATAATCTTGTGTTCTGTTTATACTAATATCGATAGTAAGTGATAAAAGTTGATTTTTCAATGTACGAATTATGGAAGTTTCATCTAAACAATGATGAGGATTAAAAAAATCATTAAATATTATTTTATATAAATGCTTATATTTATGTATACTTTATTCGACTATCCCTTTAGTTGACAACCTTTTCTTCTCTACATATTAACAAATACAAAATCAAATGAAAAATGATTTTGAACTTAGTAACATTTGTAATCATCTAATTAATGAAACCAAAAATTTATCTATGAATTTATTTCATTTATAGATTTCATATGTCTATTATTGAAAGCATAAAAAAAAAATCTTACTAGTAAAAAGATCTATAGCTTTTTTTTCTTCAATATTATGTAAATTAATTCTATTTAAATTTGGATAATTTTTAACATGAAGAATACGTTCCATTGAAAGTGATTCAAGATGAAGCCATTGGATTTTTTGATGAATCGAAGGTAAAATATGTGAATAAAATCTATCAAGTATTAGATCAGATAATGAATAAACTAAACCATCCGATGTAGACATTAGAAGAGATAAATCATTTGTAAAAATAGAGTCATGTACAATTTTATTTAATCGTTTATTGACACCTGATAAAGAATAAAGTATTTCTGCATTAGACAATTTTTTAAAAATATAAATAAGAATTTCATCTGGTAAATCATTCAATTGAATAGATGAATATTCCATGTTCGTCTATAACAATATCTATTTTGCTCAACTCATAAATGTCAGTATTTATATTAACATACTCAAATGTTCTATCTGACCGATGTCGTCCATAGAAACAATGATACATTTTTCTATAATCTAAATTGATGATGAATGAATGGATAATCATTCGAATAATATTTTTTTTTTCTCTCTGTTCCGTTGACTGAAGAGGCGATGATATATGAAAAAAATGCGTCTATATGTAATCATCAATTGACTTAAATATAATAGGATTGATTTAAAAAAAAAATACTTGTTCATCAAATTAACCTTCATAAACATTAACATCAGTCATAAAACCTGGGAAAAGTGTTAATTTATATCAATCAAGTTGAATTTTTTTTATCAAATGAATAATAATTTCGAACAAATAATTTCAAAATAGCAATTTCTGATATTAAAATACGTATTTTTTCAATGATTATCTATTGTGATTTAATTGATTCTACATCTTTATTATTATTCACTCGTTTAATACCAAATATGGTTCTCGTGAGTGATGGTCAATGTCAAGCGATTGATGATGATACTACTCTCATCGTTGATATAATGAAATTATCTAATCAATAGACATAAAAACGAAGAAAAAAGGTCATATCTGATGTTCATATGTGAGTAATAATATCTGGAAAATGTACTTTACTTATTAGACAAAATGTCTAGACTTTTAGTCTCTTTTATTTATCTAATATCAATGGAAGACATTAAGATCAATGGAATTCTAATATTCAAAAATAAAATATATTTTTTCCATAATGGAACAAACTATAACAGAGCCAGTGAAGAAATAATATATCAATGTAAAGTAAAACAGAAGACAAGTATTTTCGTACATGCATCTGGATATCCACATATAGCCTTGTCTGCCAATCAATTGATGCTCACGAGGGAACTTCCTCAAGTGGTGAAAAGTTTTTGAAATGATATTTTGCCCATAAGTAAGACCCGGTGAGAGTAGAAAAAGTTCAAAGTGATAGGAATCTATATACCTTCCTTTCGGAGTTATGACCGCCGTTTTAGTGGATTTTCTGACTTATGACAAGATATTGACAGAAATATCGAATGACGAAATTTCGACTTGAAATTTCGTCCATATGTAGATTTCATAATCCTTAGCATACGCTAAAACTTTCAGCGAAAATGGATGTTTCTTTCTCAAGATAGAGAATTTGCAAGAAAACTCAATTTTTCTAAGCTATTTGTGAAATGTGAATATTTCGTGCAAATTCATTATCTTGAGAAAGAAACATCCATTTTCGCTGAAATTTTTAGAGTATATTAAGGATCATGAGAACTACATATGGGAAAATTTTCAAGTCGAAATTTCGTCATTCGATATTTCTGTCAATATCTTGTCATAAGTCAGAAAATCCACTTAAACAACGGTCATAACTTCGAAAGGAAGGCATATGGGCCCTTATTCTTTTGGGCTTTTTCTACTCTCATCAGGCTCTACTTATAGGCAAAATATCACTTCAAAAGCTTTCCAGCACTTAGGGGAAGTTTCTTCGTCAGCGGTATGCAAGAAAATACAATAACTGTAGATAATATTTTTGATTCTGATTATTTTGTCTGCAACAATTCCAGCAATGAAAACTTTTTATAGCAGGATAAATGATTGCCAATTCTTTTTTTTTTACAAGGAAAAGTGATATTACTCAATATATTATATTGAGGAAACTAGTTACCAATTACTTATATGATATTCTTGATGAAGGAATATTTCATTTTTTGAGACAGTATTCATTCAATTTATTTTATCACTTACTATTGTAGAAGAATAACAAACTAACAACAACACAATACTATAAGTAAGAATAAAAGAGACAACTTGCACAAATAACTCGTCGATGTTATTCTTTTGAAGTACAGTAATAAATAATGACTTTTGTTGTTTACAAGAGAAAACAAGGACGATGAATTGATAGATTCCATTTATCATCAGTGGATTACTTGAACAATTCGAGTGAATAAAAATGCATAAAATAATTGAATTAAACCAAGAAAAAGATAAATTCATTGAGGACTACTCTGTTTTAATAGTTAAACAAAAAAAATCGTTTCTTTTCAAAAGTTTTTATTTGTTTATTAAAGATTAAAGCAAAGAGTTCTTGGGAAAAAAGTCTTTTTAATGAACTAGCTTGATCGATTTCAATCATTTTGATTCTCACTTAAACAACGTCTTCCTTAAACTAAATTCATCAAAAATTATTTGTAATAGGAATCGAAGATTTTTTTCATAAGAATTCTTCTTCCTTAATCAATTAAATAGATTTGATCAGTTTTTCCAATTTTTGGTAAACGTGTGCAATTATTATTGTTTCTCGATGTCTGGATTTTCAAAAAAAGACGTTTTGAATTCATTTCTCGAATCTAAAGCACTTGTTGGTTCATCTAAAATTAATGTCAAATGTTTTCTTAATAAAGTTCGAGCTAATGCATGAGATCGTTTTTCTCCTTCGCTCAATTCAATTCGATTTTCATCAATCAATTTTTGATAGTTTTTCAAGAGCAACAAAAAGCGATTTTTCTTCTTTTCAAAGAAAGGAAGACAAATGATTAGATTTCGAAGTTGAAGAATAAATTGATCAGTATTGAGTTGTTCAACATCTGATTGTGTTGCATTGATATTCTCATAACAAAGATTTCCTAAAAAGAACCTTTTATCAGCGTTAAAAGAGAAATGATTTTTAACTGATTCTTGTTGAACACACCAATTTGTTTTCGATATTGTTGGAGATTAAATTGATCAATTAATTGTTATTTGATCAAGTATTGTTGAATAATAACTAAAAAGCAATGAACTGATTGTTGATTTTCATAAAACAATTTGAATATTTGAAAAGAAAAAGAGAACGATTTCTACTAACGAATTCTGGAATTTGTCCAAAATGAAGATTTTTGAAAATCAATCAATCAATCTTTCCGTGTTGGATAAGCAAATGAGACATGTTTTCAATTGGTGAAAAATGTTCACCTTCATCGTCATTTTAGAACAAGAAAAAACATTAATCTTAACTTTAAAAATGAGTTGAAAAACAACTGATCCAATAATTGGTGTTTTAATAAATAATTGAATAGGAAATCAAACATTGAATATTGTTTGACCTAAGCCTGCGACAGCTCTGAGCAGTCAGAGGCCTAGTTTGACCAAAAAGTAAAATAATCTTTTTTTTAAAGAAAAATCTTATTTCATTTTGAAATTGTTTAAGAGAAGAAATATTTGTTATGAGAAGAATATCTCTTAAAATAAATCGGTTGGTTTTAGTCAGTTAGATGTGTCTGAAATATCGAACTATCTACTTGAAGCTCATATGGTTATATGTAATTAGGGATCATTTCTTGTCTATATATAAAGTAGTTTTTATCGACGCTCAGAACTTATAAAACACCCTTTACATTTAATATCATTCATGCTGTAATACTCAAGACTAGAAATTTGTTAGAGTTAGAAAATTGCCTGAATACTAAAGTGTTTGCGATTTATCTAGTTTTTCCCAGGGTTCTTATGATTAAATCAAAGTTTAAATATGGAGGCGAAGGACAAAGTCAAACAGAATAATATCAGTTTACCATTTGCGATATTTTTTTCTTTCTATTATAGTATCAATAAAATACACAAAGGTGTTAGTGCTTGATGAAATTGTCAGCTGAATCAATGTATTATGCTTATCAATCCTTATAAATACTGATCTTAAATCCTTCAAAATAATCAGTCACTCTTAAAAATTTACAAGAAACTATTTTTACCATGCTTAATCAAATCATGACCATTGTTATTTCTGTTCTTTTCTGTGGTACACTTGTAGTTTCGGTTAATCCTGCTGCATCTGTTCAAGAACAACGTCATGCTATTTCATTGCCAGACAACTTTGGATTACCAAATTCACTCTTTATGTCAATGCTGTGCTTCAGGCCATGCCTTTGCAGTAGCTATCGTGATCACCGTGGATGTGATACATGTAATTGTCGTCCATATGATGGCAGTGGATGTGGTGACGATTTGGGAAATAGCTTAATCTCTATTTTGATTGAATGAATGATAAATAAAGTTTAAGAGAAAAGAATACTCAATTGTTTTATATCAATTTCAAGCTATAATATGTACTAAGCTAATTTGATTTGAAAAAATAATTTATAATCATTCAAATGAGTTGATTTTGATATGCTTTAACACTTAATCAAAATGTTTGCGGTAGTCGTTCATGTATCGAAACAAGTCTAGATGAATGTTTATTTGATCTGTACTATATAAATCCTTCATTAGAATTCATTATTCTTTTTCTTGACAAAATAGCTGAAGTATTTCATAAAAAGCAATACGTTATTTTTATCACTCGAATGCATGCGACGAGCGTTACTTGTAATATAAAACAAAAAAATCACATAAGCACATTGTCAATTCTTGAAATCGGATATATGTTTTTAGTCTTCATAATGTATTGTTCAAATACATGCAAGATTCATAGAAAAAAATGAGCACAAAAATTAGAAATCAATATATTTATTCGTCATGTATATTCATAAAATGATACAAAAAAGATTTTGTGAGTGTGCTATGGTTTTCATTCTGTGAAGCTTTGTTTCATCGTTTCACGTCGACTAAAGACCTCTAGAGTCCTCCATATACAGATGAAAATTATGATTCTGTTTATTTTCTTCTATGTAGAGATATGCAATTTATTTATGTTTTTTTTTTGTCTAAAATATTATTATAAGTTTGTGAATATCGAATGATAGATATAGCTTCAACAGTCGATATTTACTGTTACGAAAGTATGTTTCAATAATTGATGGTCATAGGGTGTAGTAAATCGGTGCTTAAATTTTCATATATTCTTCTCCTTTCTACCTTGCTCACAATATACATGACTGTAGGCAGATTGCTTCTCATTTTGTTCTACACTTTGTGCACGTGAGTCTATAATAACATAAATTTGTTTCTTTTCTTTATTATATAGTGTATTAGATAGGCAATAATAAAACTAAATCTAGCTATAACATAACTATATATAAATCCGGTACGTAAATAGCTAAAGTGTATTTGAAAACATTATCAGAAATGTTTCTCTGACGAAATATATTTGAATGTTTTTTGTTTTTTTGTTATTTTCGAAGATGTCCACGAGTGATTCAGATGAAACTACAATCTCATTTTACATTGATGAACCACCAATCAATCAGGATATTGAAACTTTCTTTCTTAATTATGCGTCTATTTCACCCTCAGCACTACGTGATCATTTGATTTCTGTGCGTGAAGCTGCCTGGCAAAGACATCACTATCCATGTCTAGGTCGTTGGGGTTTTCTTCACTTTTCTATTAAACAAAATCCAATTTATGAGGAAATACTCGAACAATGCAAGAACAAAGGTGCAACAATAATCGATTTTGGAAGCTGTCTTGGTCAAGATTTACGACGACTTATCTACGATGGTGTACCACTTGATCGAATTCGTGGTTATGAATTAGATCCATTCTTCATCGAACAAGGTTATGAGTTGTTTCGCGATGGTGATTTGATGAAAGCCAACAAGATATTTACTGTCGGTGACATATTTGACGATCAATTCTTGAAAACAATCGAACCAGCAGACTATCTCTACGCGGGTTCATTCCTTCATCTTTTTGATGCCGAAACTCAAAAGGATGTTTGTCGACGACTTTCTCGCTTAGCGAAACGAGCTATTGCTGGTCGACAAGTTGGTGCTTTCATACCTATCGAACAATCAACACCGTCCCGAATTTTAAGAGGTAAAATGATGCGACACTCACCAGAAAGTTTTGCACAGATGTGGAATGAGGCTACAGATGGTGAATGGCAAGTAGAATATGCTACTTTGAATAATATTAGTTCTAACAAAATTGGTAATCCGTTGCTCATCTTTGTAGTAAGAAGAAAAACTGGAGAATAATCAAGCCTATGTTTAGACACTTCATCTCATTCTATTAATCCTTGATAAAACAAGGAATTCGTAATAATAAATACAAGAAATATGTATCTCTCACTGTGTATTCTGTTCTGTGGGAATTTTTTAGAATTGTATGTGATATGAAATGATGAGGTCATTTAACACCAGACTACAATCTGTTTGAGAATGTGGATGATCTAATTAAGCGTGTCATTGAATGAGAAATGATAAAAGTATAAAAATAAGAATATTTGATCGAAAAGAAGCATACTGTTATTTTAAATAATTCTTTTCTATAGAACAATCATGCAACTCGACACTATAACCAAAGGTGAATTTTACACAGCATGAGATTTTTCTAATCACTTGTCACACTAGTTCTTGCGGATTAAGATTCATACTTGACATTTTATCATTGAAGCTCTCGTTGTTGAAAAACCAAAATAGCGAAGTTTTTGTTGAACACGCGAATGATATAGAAGAAATATAAGTGAGATCAGAATTACACTTCATTTGACTTCTTTACAACATCTGTCGCATCACTGAAACAAGGTATTTGTAACTGTTGTCACAAACGGTTTTGTAGAGCAACTTGCAACGAACATTGAGAGTGTCAATCGATGCCTTGATTGTTTTGAAGTATCTATACATGATCTACTCGAACAACACTAAAAATTCACACAAAGATAATTAAAGATTTCAAAAAAAATATTTTAAAGAACAAATGCATAAATCGAAACAAATACGTAAATGTCTACATCAGTATAAGTGTTTCCGTATGTCAGTTTGTCGAACTAAAGGTTAGAGTAAAGGATATTCGTTTATGAGTTACTATCTTTTAAAATCTTGTTTTTATTTATCGCGTCGTACACGTAAGATACGACTACACTGTTTTGATTCTTTGGTGCACAGTTCTCTCAAGTTGTAACGTATTTCTCTTCTCTCTTCGATTATCATTCTATCGAATAAAATAAACTAATTAGAGGAATATATAAAACAAATTTTCAGTGATATGTGATTACTTATAATTTTTATTTATTTTTTTAACTAGTGAAGTCTGCAAAAACATGAACTTTTATAGGCAAAACAAAAATGAAATATGGATCGTACTTTGGTTCAATAGATTGTATTGTAACTTCAGCTTGATCTTTCTTTCCATGTTTCAATGTATAACTCTAAAAGTTATCATCTACCGCTCTAAATATGATTAATCAAAAGAAAGCAAAAGTTTTATCTATGTACAACATACGAATCAATCTGACTTTTAAACTCTCCTTGAATTATATTTTCAATTAATTCTTCGTAAATTTTTAAAGTATGTTTTTACATTTCCCTTTCCAAATTGGAATTAGGAACGATTTCATATATGTTAATAAGAGTTTATCAATATAAAGTCTGTGATCGTGTATCAACAATGTCTTGTACCATTGATGATGGAGTTCATAGATGTATGCTACGGTCTATGATACATTACCACGCAACATATTTGTTTCAGCTCGTGAACCGAGCGGGATGATACATTTTGTCAAAAATATCATTTTTGTGAGCATTCTATATGATCAAATAGTCCACCTTTGTTACTATTGAATCACTGTTATTTGTGGATTTTATGATAGTTTGTTGCGAGTTTTAAGAGACGTAATGAGGAATTCACAAGCAGAAAATTTTGGAGCTCTAGGTAGGGTGTAAAAAGAAAAGAAACACACTCACCCACACATACTTTCTTGCCACATTTCTGGATAAATAGATAATTAAGTATATGAATAAAAATAATACGAGTATGGATAAACAGACAATCGTAAAATCAATAACATATAATGAAATAAATTGCTTATACACACAATAACGTCTTACAACTGAAATTGGCATAACTTTTTCGTTGAAATATTGATACATTTTTCTCAGCATGTCGTCATCTGAAGAAAAACTTACACATGTTCTTGATCATAGTATCTCTTTTTGCTTGTTTCTTTTTTCACTTTGCATTAGAATTCGAAAAAAAAAGTCGAAATGAAATTTACCATTGGATCTTTAGGATTGACATCATCATCGTAGATATTAAAGTGAATTATTTGTTCCGAATAGGATTGTTAGTATTCGAAACGATGGTAGTCTGTTGTTTATATCTAATGTGATCTGTCTTCTTGTTATTTTAGAGAAAAATCTAAAGTGTGGGTGTGGGTGTGGGGTGTGGGCGTGGGTCTGTGGGTGTGGGCGTGGGTGTGTGGGTGTGGGTGGGTGGGTGTGGGTGTGGGTGTGGGTATGGGTGTGGGTGTGGGTGTGGGTATGCATGTGCCTGTGCTTGTGGCTGTGGCGGTTTTTGTCTTCAGGACTCACACCCACACCCACATTCACACCCACACCCTCACATCCACACTCACACCCACCCACCCACACCCAGCCACACACCCACACCCACACCCACGCCCCACCCATACCGCACTCACACCCATACCCCACCCACACCCATACCCCACCCTGGTCAATAACGACATCTCAGAAGTTTCGACATATTACATGATCGATGTTTTTTCTTTCGATTTTTTTTCATTCGACGTTATTTCCTTCGACGTATATTTTTCGACCTTTTTTTTCGACGTTTTTTCCTTCGACATTTTTTCTTTCGGCGTTTTCATAGTAAATCGTCAAAAATGTAAAGCACCAATCCATGACGATTTACTATTGATTCACATTTTTCATTGTGCTTTTTCGGGTAAGAGCCCGTACCAATATATATATCGCATAACAAGAATAAGATAGAAAAAAAAAAGCGAATAGCGAAATCAGTGTACATTTAGTAGTGATATATTGTAACAAACGTTTTCGTCTCGTCCAATATTTATTTTATCTAAGTATACAATTGGTTTGATTTGTAAGAAAATAAATAACTAAGGTTACCTTTTGTTTTCCATTATTCAACACTTAGATATTATTGTCATTTATCTTAAAAAAAGTAAGTTTTTATTTTAAGTATACATTATTGAAGTGTCTCTTTCTTAAATATGATTTTTTTTCATACTGAAATTGTATTATTGATTGAAATTAAGTCGACCATATAATGAGTCAAAATCTTTCGGAATAGAGTTTATCATATTAATTTGATTACAGTTAACAATACACATCTTGTCAAAACATTGTAAAGAAGAAAATAAAACTAATAAAAATGTGTTAAATAACAAATAGTTTGATTAATTATTAAATTTTCTTATAGATAATAATGAAAATATTAAAAGTTCCATTTCTTGGCGCTCTTTTACGTGAATATGCAAACAAATACGAACATCCAAGAGAAAAATTGATTGTTTTGGTTCATTGGGCCTTTTTAAGGAGACTTTTTTTAATTTCAAAGCACGGCGAAGTAAGAAACAGTGCTTTTTTTTGCAATCTTAGTTGATTAAGGTTGATTTGTTTTAGAATAAAGATATTATGGATTGGATAAAAAACGAGAATGATTCAATTAATATTGTTTATTTTCGAACTGATATTGTCATAGAAGCTGAACAATTTTTTGATAACGAAAATTTTTATATTCAATTGAAGGGGGTAAGTATCAGATATAACACATTATCTTCAATTCTTTTTGGTTTCATTTCTAGAGTGAAAATACTCAATTATTTCTAGAAATGTCAGTGAATGATTATATTAATGAAAATGATGGGTAAGCTTAAGAGATTTCTTATGAATCATTTAATAGAAAATTGTTCTTTTGTATAGATCTTTAAAAAATATTAATGAATTCATACAACAGATAGGAAATGGAATTGACGAAATTATACGACGAAAAGAAGAGATCATGAACAATTTAAAAAAAGAAATGAAACCAACAACAACAACATTAATCATTGAACGAGAGTAAGAGCAATAAATATCAGTATTTAATTTTTGTTTTTTGTTGTTTTTAGAAATGGTACTCAAGGAAAAATGATCATATCAATTTATCGTTGAGTTTCTACGTCAGATATACATAAATAAATCATATAAATGCTATGACTAGTTTTGTCAATTAGATGTGTTTATTTAAATAAAATTGAAGTTAAAATTTGAATTTAGTTTAGGAATGTGAAACATAAAGTTCACAAAATGTTTTGCGAATAAGTCAGTCCTTTTTATTTGATCAATTTTTTTGAAAGATTCAGATTTTAATTTTTAACAAAGAAGCACATATGTCTGTTTATGTAGAATTTAATTTATCATATATTTGAGTATTTCAATTAACAATTTTTTCTACTTTAATTTCATTGTAATTTATGTGATAACTGAAATTGTCTTATAAATTGAATTTAAATTCATAGGAAACTTCAATTATGAGAATTGGTTTTTGCATCACAATTATCTAAATGTATTGTTTCCTTTTTTTATCTATAGAGATTATTGTATCTCTAGTACGGTCGATTTAACTCCATGATGCTATTGTGTATGAGATGGATTGATAGATACCATAAACTGAGTAAATATTATGTAAAAACGTATTCTAAATTTATTGCCATTATATTTACTGTCGTAAATAATATTCACAAGGCTCACTTTGTTGACATGTAAATATTGAAAAAATCTAATTATGGATTATTAACTGAATCGTAACACTTTCATTCGATATAAAATAAAATAAAATCTCGTTTTAAAATTATAATATTCTATAATACGCCGCGAATCAATTATATTTTGATTTTTTGCGAGTGCATCAATTAGTTTATGCATATAGAGGGCCTTTGATCTTATACACGATAGTAATCCTTATCTTTTTTAAAAGCCTTTAATCAGTTTTATCGAAAATCGATCAAATGCTAAAAATGTATTTTAAAATTAGAATATTTATATTCGATTTATCTATCACTTGTGCTTCTAATTCAATTATTCGAATTCCGCAAAATTTTCTAAATAATAGTTGATTAGTGAACATACTCATTGTTTAGATTTTCGTTATCTATATACCAATATTAATGAAGTGAAAATATCTTATCTTTATGATATTCTCACAAACAGAAGTTGAAAATCTTTGAAAAAAAAATTAAAAATTTCTCGAAGATATTTGTTTGTTTATGCCTACGACAGACCTGCTTTATTTGAAGCAAAAACATAAAAGCGTGGAATAGTTTTCTTCCATTCGTTACTATTCGTACGAGATCGGAATTCTTTCTCCTTAATCTTTTCTCAAACAATTCAAAAGAACTGAATCGTGTGTGACTAATTTGAATGCATGGGACTGTTCTGTTTCTTTAAAGAAAATGAACAAGAAAACAACTGAGGTTTCGGTGAATGAAGTGCCACGAAGTCTTGTGGTCTTTCAAAATCTGCTGAATTCTCTTGAAGTTTCTAAAAAATTGAAAGTCTTTGTGATTGAAGTTTCTTCAAGGAGAAACAATAGACTTCAACAGATGCTTCAAATTTTCACGAGACTTCACAAGATCTTGAAAGACTTCAACACTTCGTTTAACTTCACAACCGAAATTATAGTTGTTTTCCTGAGAGTTTCTTGCAATCCTGGCAAGTTTCGTAAAAATTTGAAGTCTCTTAAGGGTACCGTCTTTTCCGGACTCTATATTTTCAATTTCTTTTGGCTTTTCATTTTTTTATGTTGAATATATACATTTTAATGCCTTCTATTCAATGAATACATTTTGAAAAATCAAAATCCCTTCTTTGAATATAAAAAACTTGGTTAACGATTCCAATTTATGCTAAAAAGGTCAAAAAAGGCGATTTTCTTTGCATTTTTCGGAATATGATATTTTCAAGCAAAAAATTGAACTTTTCCCCCTTTTCCTCCTACACGGTACGACTGTCTGTGCTGAAATTTTTTGTGCAACAACTACGACCAAATTGGAGTGCCTATCTTGTTTTTTTGTTAACATAATGTTGTGGTCGTTTTTGGCGGCTCTTGCAAAATTTGCACTAGGCAAAAAACACGCTTTTTTGACAGGGCTTTCAGTATTTTGGCTCTCCGAAGCAAAGAAAACAAATCATAGCAATGTTGAGAAAAAGGAGCTCTAATAAAATATCCTGATGAATAGGATATGCTGATATTCAAAAGGGGGGCTGTTCGAGATATGTTCAGATTTTCGAAAAAGGAAATTACAGAATTTTCCGAAGCTTCCATCAACTCGATAACTACACAGCAAAGCAAATGAAAAGTTTTTGGAGATATTGGAAAGTACCAAACAATTTAGAACACAAGTGCTTAAAATTTCCGAAATTTCCTTTTTCGGAAGTCTGAACACTGCTGCATAATTTCATTTGATAATACAATTTTCAATATGAGAACCATATTTATTAATGAGTCAAAAAGTCTTTATTGTTATAGATATCAGCAATATTATCCATTAAAAAATTGTTCTATTAACGATACAAATGCAAAAAATAAGTATTCATTTATATTTCTTTTAATTAGGTTGATGATGTTATTCATATCTTAAAGTAAAACGATAAGTGATTCAAACAAGGTTTATACTTCAGATTGTGTACGAAAACACTTTAGTAACCTGGCCATTAATAAAAATGTCGGCCGTAAAAAGTAGAGGTACAGAATTTACCCATGTGACGAGCACGCGGGTGTGGG